TGCTCCTGGGAATAATCCTATTTTATTAGGGGCCTATTATATGTGAACTCCTCGAGAACAGCACCAGGAATGTGGAATGTCAAAGCTGACCGGGACGCAGACACCAGAAAGCTGAAACTTACTGCCACAAGTGAGAAGACTGAGGTCTAAGAAGATCGAACCACTGCCCAATGCCCTATAGATTTTGATCAGGAAGCACATCTGCAAATGAATTTTGACTCACACATCCCTCAGGGAACAGAGAAAGATTCACCCACACAGCCACTGTTGGAGTTCAGCCCTTCCACAAGGAATTTTCTCACCTGACTGTCGCATCAGAGGGCCTCTTTCCTCCCTCCTGGCATGCACAGGCTTTCCCTTGCCAAAATGGAGCCCACTCCTTAGGTTGGGGCCTCCATCCTCAGAGCTGGATCTGGTCCAGTCCCAAAGACCTTCCTCCCCCAGACAACAACCTCATTCTCTGCATCTCCCCAAAACATGACAGGAAATGCAACTGTGATAAGGGACTCACACAATGAAAGAGTGCGCTTGAGGAATGCCAAAGGGGTGCAGGTGGGGGTCCCAGGGACTTAGTTTTGCTGGCTAAGCCCTCACATGTGACTTGCTCTAAATATACATGCAAGTACGCACATGCATGCCTCCGGCCTTGACCTGCACACTGTGACAGGAGGCTGCACGGGCCTTGCCCAGCAAGATTGAAATATTCTAAAATGGCAGGTTTCCTCCCAACCCCGTGTTCATCAAGGCCATCATAAAAACAATATTTAAATTCATTGATTGCGAATCTTTCCTCTCACAGAAGTAAACCCTGGGACCCAGGCCACCTGTGAGCTGTCACTGACCATCGCCAGCAGCGACCCACCTTCCTTTCTCACTCTCCTGCTTCCTATTCCCGGTGGTGCTCAGTCTCGGCTTCACTTCAGGAACTTCAGAATCACCTGGGAAGCGCTTCCAATTCCCAGTGCCCAGGCCTCACCTGGACCCATTAGTTAAATCAGAATCCCTGGGCGGAACTCCGGCTACAGAGTTCTCCGCACCACCACCCCCCCCCCGCCCCGCCATTCCCCAGTGCAGCACGGCAGCCCAAGCGGATGATGATGCCAGGAAGTGAAGGCTGAGAATCCCGAAAGAGACACGGGGTTGCACACAGTGGCCCAGAGTGCTAAAGGGAACCGGTCTGAGATGCTCACTTCTTTCCCACCCCCAATGCTAGGCAGAGCTGAGGGAAGACACGAAAGACCGAGGAGAGGTCCACGAATGCGTTGCAGAGATGGTGCAGACTGTCGCCTGCTTCTGCCCTGCTCCTGACTGCATCTTCTCAGGGCTCAAGCACCTTCCCGGCGGCCCTCATTCAGCCACATTCACTGCAGACTTGGAGGGGGAGGGCAATGAGTGACCAGAGCGGGCTGCTCAGTGAGATGGAACGCAAGCCCTTTGTTGGGGGATGCTAGATGTGCTGGTTAATTTCTTAATTCTCATCGCAATTTGGTGCACGGCAGACTCCTGGAATGTCTTTATCCATTGCAGATGGTTTGGTAAGATGATAAATTAATATTGTTATCAATGGAGGCGCGGCTGAAATGGTTAAAGAGCAATGTCTTCTTTTTGGGGCTCTAAAAAGAAAGCCCCCAAAGTCCATAAAGAAAACAAATGGTAAACAAAACCTCCTATCTTTTGACAGATTCCAGAAGGAGTATCATTCACAATCCATTCTGCGGAGAAAAGGGGGAAATTCATCTCATCTGACTTTGTATAGGACAGCAGCCCACACCATAATGAGGCCGTCCCAGGGCTGTGAAATCGGGCTGAATAGCTGAGAGTGCAGCGGCCTGTCCCCTGGGCATGTTTATTACAGCCTTTTGTACGCACCAACCCTGCCAGCCTGGGTTTGCTTCTCAACTAGGGGAGGGGAGAAAGAACTGAACAAATTTGTTGCTATGAAACTTCCCAAATGGGGGACTGCATAATAACATTTGGAATCAAATGCCTTGCTCCAAGCTGCTCTTGTCTGGTCCACCCCTGTTCTATATTGAACAAGCTCCCGAGTCAGCCAATCACCAGCAGTGTATGGGTGGCCTCGGCCCCCTGCCCAGGCCCCTTTGGGGCCTTGAGAAGTCATCGGGTAAAGAGGGCCCCAAGGCCTTTCCCATGCCAACTTGGGGGTCCTGAGCCAATTGTCCCAATCCCCCTTAAAATATGTCTGAACCAAGCAAACAAATGTGGCTTCTACCTGGGAAACCATGGCGGGCCTCCCTGAGGACAACCACAGGGGCTGGAGTACTTCTGCACAAGGAAGCACTTCCTAGCCCACGTGGCCTGGAAATGCAAGGAGGAAGGCTCCTGAGGCAGGGGCTGGGGAAGGGCGGTGGGGTGTAGACCAAGACCCTCCGGTGGGAAGATCTCAGGAGTACGTATTCTCCTGCCAGGGAGGGAACTTCTCCTAAAGCTGCTTCCCTCCAAGAGCTTAGGTCTCTTTTTGGAGAGAAGCATCCCTTAGGAGAACTGAGGACTCAGAAGTTCCCACATCCCCCTCAGGTGACACCAGGAAAGGAAAGAGGAAAGACCTGGAACTTATAAGACATAGCTTTCTTCACCGGTGAGGTGGCTGGATCCTTTAGGTCCCATTTTGGCTTGTTAACCAGAAAGTAGTTTTGTTGTTGTTTTTACCAATCATGAAGCAAACTATGCTTTTCCTATTAATTAACACGCGAGATTCTTGAACATTCTTTCCTCGCCAATCTACTGGAGGTTCCTTGAAGTGTCATCTCTCTTCACCAGTCAGGTGCAGGTTCCTTGAAACGCCAACTTCCTTCTCCAGTCAAGTGGCTGAGAGCCCCACACTTGCCCCCCACTTCTCCTCATCAGAATAGCCTGCGTCCCCCTGAGCAGAACCCTTCCTTAGGTTTCCTCTGCTGCCAGTTCTTCCCCCAGGGTCCCCATCAAGCTAGGGGGCAGCCGCTATGTAGGACCGGAAAGGAAGATGGTACCAAGGTTGGCTCAACCTGTGAAGATTCAGAGTGGGATCATTCCCTCATGTGTCTGCAACTGTCCCCCCAGAGACCATTAAAGGAAGCTTCCACAAATGTGGCAACCCTGGGGAATGCCTGGAGGCTTCTGGGCATTTGTGGCTTCCTACATCTCTCGCTTTGAGACGCGTGCAGCACATGCCTCCCTCTCTTTCCTCAGCCACGGAGGGGAAAGGGAGATGACCGCGGATCTCCCCCTTGCTGCTTCTCGGAAGGACACGCATTTCTGCTCCAACACAGAAACCGGGAGAACAGGAAATGATTCGTGCCCTTCTTCACAGAACTCAGACCTTCCACCCCAGGGCACAGGTCTGCCCATCTGAGCGGCTGAAATGGGCTAAAATTTCTTGGCCAAATCTCCCGGAAATTTGTGTGTAAGCCAGCTGTTTACAAGAGCCCCACTTCGGTTTCTTTTGTAAGAGACAATAAACACTCTGGGCACAAGCCAAAACTGAAAACTTCAAGCCATCTCTTCCTGCTGACACCTTCTTGACAGCATAGAGCCCTCTCGGGTCTCTCTGCCTGAGTCACCTTCCCATTCTCAAGGTCTCTGGAGGACTGTCTGTTCCCTGGAACAGTGGTCTTTCTGAAGTGGAAACAGACTAGCTACCTTTATGCTCAAATTTCTCTTGGCAACCACCAGAGGCAGCAGTAAGTCCACAGACCAGGTGAGGAGTTCCTTGCGTCTCTGCGCAATGGGAACTGGAGAGACCCCTCCTGAAAATTACAGACTGGAAGCTGGCGGGTTTCGTTCTGTTTGTCTGCTTGAGAAAAGGGTTCTGCACAAGCAGAGTTGGCTTCGTGCACACAAGGGCATGTACTTGGCTGATGCTCTGTGGTCACTCCTTTGAAAAATCTTAAAATCATTTTTTAATAAGAAGCTCCGTGTTTCCATTTTGCACTGGGCCCTGCAAATGATGTCATCAGTCTGGCACACATGTACCCAACATCTGGTGGGTTTCCTGTTATGAAGACGATCATATGCTTCACTCAGAGGCTGAGCAGTGGCCCACAAGGGCTCCCTGACAGCAGCTCATCACCTGGGCTTATACCTGCCAAGGCTTGGAACCCTCCCATGTTAGGCTCCACACAGGCCTAGCAGCCCCCTGGGTAAACATCTTGAAAAGCCATGCTCATGGCAGGCCCTGGACCCAGATCCCTGACTTTAGGGCAGAAGAGTCTTGGTTCCTGGAATCCCAAAAGCTAACGTGGGGCACAGGGCCTACTTCTTACCCTCCACCACCAAATTCCCTGGCATTTTACTAGCTCCTCTGGGTCATGTGACCATTCCTTCATATTTTTCTTTTGATGGGAGAAAAAAAACAGCAGAAATTTAAAACATTATTGCTTGTTTCAGTGAACAAAAAGAGTCTCCCATCGCCTTGTAATTTTTTTTTTTTTTTTTGTCCTGAGAAGTAAAGCTGTTTGCAGATGGATTAAATGTTCCTTCTGAGACCCTGATCTTGAAACTGGCGACCTTGCTATGACTGTGTCTGTGTGTAACGAAGGGAGGGGGTGGCATGCGCATATCCAAAGAAGGACGTCTGCGTGGGTTTGGAAAAAGAGGGTCCTTTGTCCCAACGGTAAGCCTGGCTGCAGCCCTGTGGTATGCAGCACACCTGTGCAAAGGGGGAGTGCCTGGGGGAGGCGAGGAGAGCCCAGCCCGCTCCCTCTTGGGCGATCACACCTTCTCTTTTCTTCTCCTTTAAGCCATGTCTCCATTGCCCCTTTGTTTTGGCTTACACCTCCAAATACCAGGGAGGCTCTGTGTGTGTGGGTGTACGTGCATGTGTGTGTGTGTATGTATGTGTGTGTGTGTGTGTGTGTGTGTGTGTGTGTGTGTGTGTGTGTGTGTGGTGACCTCAGTCTGTGCTGCTTTGTATGGGAACTAGGAAAAAACAAACAGAAAAGGTGAAAGACAGGAAAGACTGGTGTCCCCAAGGCCCTGGCCCCTGTCCCCGGAGGGCAGTCTACCTTTGCAGGCCTTCCGGTGGGTGATGGGCTTGCCCATGTCTCGGTAGAAGCCCTCCTTGCAGTAATGGCAGTGGCGCCCGGCCGTATTGTGGCGGCAGTTGAGGCAGACGCCCCCGCTCTTGCGACCCGACAGCTTGTAGAGTTCCATGTTGAAGCGACAGCGCCGGGCATGGAGGTTGCAGTTACAGGCTGCAGGAAAAACAGGAAGAGACCGTCAGCAAGGATGGCATGGAAAGAGGGGCCCCTATGGGAGCCAAGCTCCCCACTTCATCTGCACTGCTGGATCCAGGGAGGCAGCCTCCTGCTCCAGGAGCTCTGCCTCGGCTCCTCTGGTTTCCACCCATAAACAGATGGGGCCCCTTACAGTACCATGGCTGAGGCTGCCTCCGAATTATTGTGTTGACAACACAAAACCCCAGCACCTCCGACTTTCACTGGATCTAAAGGAAGGTTTCTGTTTTATTTTGGTTGCATGGGCTACTGGGTGTTGGTAGAAGCCCTAAATGCATGCTAGGCAAATGCCCTACACTGAGTTCTATCTCCAGGGTTTTATTTTGAGACAAGATTTTGCTAAGTTGCCCAGGCTGCCCTTGAAACTCGTGGTCTTCCAGCGTCAGCCTTTGAGTAGCTGGGATGATAACCATGCACCATCATGCCCAGCTCGAAGATAAGAACTTTAAAGGTGGCTAAGTTAAAGTAAGACCTTCACGTTGGGTCCTACTCCTAGGTATTCCTATAAGGAGGAAATCCAGATACACAGAGACCTCACAGATGCATTTAAGTAGATGAAAGACCTGATGGGATCCTGGTGAGAAGGCAGCCACCTGTAAGCCAGAGAGAGGACCCAGGAGAAAGCAACCCCACCAACACCTTGATCTGAGCCTTGCAACCTCAAGAACTGGGAGAAACACACTGAAGCCCAGCGGCCCACCCAGCCACAATGGCTTGCGAGGCATTCGCCCTGAGGCTGGCCTTGAACTCTCCCCACTGCCTGCTTCAGTCTCCCAAGTGCTGGGGCTATTGGTGCATGCTGCCACGTCCAGTTCATTCTTTATGATTTTCAAAGGACGCCTGGTACTCTCTTGTGTGGGTATACATGTCATGGGTTCCTTGCAGTATGAAGACACATTTAACAGTAGGACCTCCCAAGGCTGGTAGCTAGGCTGTCTCCAGTTTGTCGTTACTGTAAACAACACAACAGTAACCACTTTTGAACACAGAGCTGACCACCTTGAACCACCTTTGAACATTTATACGCCGCTCTGATGACTGCTGTGTAGAACATTTCTCAAGATAGAATTTGGAGTGAAGTCCTGGATCGGTGTGTTTTAAATTTTGGATCTTAAATTGCCCTCCAGAAAGGTTGTACTGGCTTCTCCTCTCACCAGCAGGATGTGACAGCTCGTGTTTCGCCACACCCTTAAAAAGAATAACAATACACATTTGGTATCAACATTCTTTTTTTTTTCTTTTTTTAATCTTTGCCAATTTGTCTGGGGAAAAGACTGGCACATGATTTTAATTTGCATGTCTTTGATTACCAGGGAAGCTGAGCATTTCTCCATGTGTCTTTCTATTTATATTTCTTTTTCTGTGCACTGCTTGTTCACGCCATTTGCCCAGTTTTCAAATAAGGTGGAAGTTTTTTTGTTTTTGTTTTTGTTTTTCTCTTAATGTTGCCAAGTGCTCTTCTCTATGACTGGATTAAAAAACATCTGGTTTCTTTACAAGTTGAAAATATTTTTACCAGTTTCTTATTCATAGCTTTTGTTTGGTTTGGATTGGTTTTTGAGACAGGGTCTCAGTATGCAGTTCAGCCTGGCCTTGGACTCACTTTGTAGCCCAGGCTGGTCTCAAACTTGCAAGGATCCTCTTGCCTCAGCCTCCCAAGTGCTGGGATGACAGGAGTATGCCACCATGCCCAGGTTCAGAGGTTATTTTTATTTGTGACCTTTTATAATTTGCCTGTTTAATTTTCCTCTTTGATGTTATAAATTTCTTTAAATGCTCTTTCTAGTCAGTTTCCAAATCATTCACCAGTTAGTCACTTAAACAAGTGGAAGTACAGCAAGGCTTTAGAGGAGGCCCTTAAACAGCTAACGCCCTGAAGCATCTGGACTCCGAATTGTCCAGACCAGATAACAACTCCACTCCTGACTCCTGAGCGCTTTACTAAGGGTCCCCAAATACTGAGCGGAAGAGCAGCCTGGTTCTGCTAGCTCGCGTGCCACTGCCCCAGAGGACAGGACCTGGACCACTGTTAAGTACAGCTAGGCCTGGATCACAGCCCAGCATCTGGAATATTCCAAAAGCAAAGGAATTCCAGGGCCTGGAGCACCCACCCAGGGCAGCGATCTGAAAAGATTACCCAGTTTCTCTAGGCCTCTTCCATACTAAGAAAGGCCTTGGAATGGATTCTTTCCATCCTTTTTGAGGGTAGATTTCATCCTTCTCTGTACATGGAGGGGCCAGCCCTCCTGCACACCCAATGGGCCTCTGAGCCCCTCGTGAAAGCTCAGTGTTCCCATTCCCAATCATGACGAGCAATTAAGCCTGGAGTCTCTCCCATACACACACTGTGCTAACAAAAGGTTCTTCCCAAACAACTGGTCACATTCAAAAAGCTCCAAGGCCAAGCATCAAAAACCACCACTGCCACCCCTTCTGGAGCTGTCAGGAGACATCGAATGACAGTGCTGAGCCCAGGCTTCTGCGAAGTATTTTATGGCTTGTTTTCTTTTCTCTTTGTTTTATTTTCTCTATACAAATGGAAAAATGCACCAGGCAAAGCAGCTTCCGTCTGGATCCCCTGGCTCCACACAGAGGTGTCACCCAACTCCCGGGCTGTCCCGTGCCCCTAACTCCCTGTCTCTGAGAGACACCCTAATCCCACATGCCTTCCTGTTTATCTCCTGCTTCTCTCAGAGGCAAAAATATTGGGTATTAGTTTCATTATCAAATTTCAAGGCGGGAGGGAAAGGGCAGCTTTGTGAGAACAGAGGTCAGCCTGGGAGAGGAGGAGCAGGGGAGCAGAGAAACCCCTGAATCCTCCCTGGGCAGAAACTTTGCCTTCGCTCTAGGGGCCCCCCAGCCACCCAGAGATCCCAACCCCGAGCGTCCTTTAGCTGTCATGTAGAGATCACCAAGGACATAGCATATGTGGCTGTACCCAGGCACCGGGAAGAGCACGGGAAGGAACAGGAGGGGTTTCCCCACCGTACCCTGCGACCAGCATGAGAAGAGACCAACAGACTTACTCCTATCACTCCTACAGGAGTCCTCCAAGTCCTACTGTAACACAGGCCTGTGGCTATTCCTTAGCTCCCAACATCCCTTAAGACTTTCTCAGTCTCCCCACCAACATGGAATTACCCAGCCCCTTGCCACCCCCAGGCCAGTTCATCTCAACACACGCGGTACTTTAGCAATGTGTCAACCTCTGTGGTGGCAGGGGCAGATGAGCACACACATCACAGAGGGATGGTCACTCCCATCAACTGTGGGTCACTGAAGACAGGGCCGGGCTTGCTCTGATACTGGCCAGCCACAGCGAGTCTCAGTACACTTTTGTTGTTGTACAAATCAGAGGGAAAGAGAGACCCAAAGAGACAGAGAGACAGAGACAGAGACAGGGAGAGAGAACCCTCAAGAGGGGAGATAGACAGGACGATGGGACAGGTTAAGTGGGGTAAAAGGATGGATGAAGTCCGGATAAAAGGATGAGGTGGGTGAATGGAAGAAAGAGAGAAAGAGGTACAGCCTGGGGACACTTTGCTGTTGCCTGGAACCACTTTAAACTCATCTTGTGCCTTGACTTCCCAACTTAACATCTGTCCACTCAAGTAGACTGCAGTACTTCAGGGAGAAAAGCCACATTCCAGTGCCATGGGCTCCTCCCAGGAGGCTGAGAAGGCCCTGCACACAGAGCCTATGTCTGCCTGCACTGGTTTGATGAGTTTATCAAAACACAAACTAGCCCCTAATCCCAGCAGGATGATTCCAGGCCCAAAAAGCATCCAGCAGACACAACTGAGCTATATCCTGACTGTGTCTCTCAGGAACTCTACCCCTGACTCCCCAAGTTCATGTAGCTTAGGGGTTCTACCCACGGAAACAGGAAAGCTTCTGGTGACAAGTCCTCCTCAGGGCCCCAGGGCCCTTCCTGAACCCCCGTAGCATAAGGATCAGTCTTCCCTCCCTTTCAGAGCAATTCTCTAGAGAAAGCAGCCCCATATTATTTCTGATGTGTGACAGAGGATTTTGGATTTAAATCTCTGCAGATGAGCTGACCAAAATAACCTATCCACAGAAGCACCATCAACACCAGGCCAGGAGCTGACATGCAAGAAATCAGTCCTTAGCTCTAGGCTTCCTGCAAGCGGGTTACAGGTCCCTCCCAGATCTGTCAGGATTGGAGGGACATTCGGACCTGTCCAGGTTACATGGGCAGGCTGGGCACAATGGGCACTTGCAGGATCAGTGGCAGGGGCTGTTTCTCTCACTGGCTCCTTAGGTAATTATGCCTGGGGCTGGGTGAGGACAATGAGATCTACTCTGGCATAAGTTTAGGAGACATACCAGCAGGCAAGATACACTTTTGTTGTGTACAAACACAACAAGCACAACTTCATGGTGCTTCCAATCTCAGAGGGGAGACAGAGCCATAAAGATCTACAAGTTTCAGCTGTGAGCAGTGTGGTCAGGCCTGACAGCCAGGAAGGCCATCCTCTGGGCCCTTCTGAGACAAGACACAAGGGATCAGGCCCGGGAAGAGTCAGAATACAAAACAGGATATTCTGCCAGGGCTGTTCCAGGTGTATCTGCAGAAGGCCACCTGAACATTTGTCCAAACACACTTCTGCCAGGCTGCCAGGTGACATCTCCCATGGGGCTGAGCTGCAGGCCAGTGCAGATGAATGGAACCAATCAGTACAGAACCCCGTTGGAATAAAACCTACTGTGTGACAAGTGGGCCCTGCAGGGAGGTAAAGGGGAAGGCATACAGGGGGAATCTTCCAGGAGGTATTAGAATATGGATTCACAAGAAATGTCTCCTTAAACAACTGGTTCAGAGACATAAAAATATCTGGGAGCTCTTTTTAACAGTTTGACGTTACTTGTATGTGCCTTTAAGACTCTGCTACTCTATGCAGCATACTATTTATTTAGAAATCGCCTCTGTAAAGTAG